GAGTCAGAATATATCTTATGAAGTGGTTAACTGATGCCATTCCCACAACTACAGTTTTTCGATTTGCATGGATCACTGTTGAGGGGACAGTCATACGGCAGCTTCTAAAACAACTTATTATGCCTTCGTTGAATACCAACTGGTCAACTACTAAGTAGCGAAATTGGCCCACTTATCCCCGTCATCTCAACTTTCGATACTCAGGCGACAGGACTTGGCCTCACTGAATCACATTCAGACTCGTGCTCTGGTTGTTGACGATGACGCGGATTGGTCTTTGATAGAAGTGCGACGGCACGAGGCCACAATCATCCATTATAGTCGATCACTTTTGCACCCGCTTATTCACGATGACAGTTGTACATGTTGCGGGGATGTTGCGGCCTTGATGAATCAGCCTCTGATTAGATGGAACGCCCTCTTCAACTTAGAAGAGTTTTGCGAAAGCAGTGCCGCATTCGCCCGGTGATCCATATTTGTCGCTCCTATGATATCTACAGCTTCGCCGAGGGCGTAAGGAGCTGGCCCCAATGCCGTCAGATTACCGATCGACCATCCTCTACGATATACTCACTGACATAAAAGCGGCTCACACACGTTCCCTCTTGCTCGGTGCGGAGTTCACTACAAGTTGCCCTGGCATGGTTACGTTAGTACAGATAGCCCCGCCGTCAGACTACGAAGACTTTTGGCTGGCATTTTGTATTCGACACGGGTTTGGAACAAGGGTAAAGGATATATTCGTTGAGCTCAGTGCCATAACTCTTGGGGCTCGGAGAGCCAGCCGATTGATACAGCTGGCGTTGAATATCGGATCGCCTGAAGTCTACATTAGTATCAAGGCATGTCTTGACGATATACGCAAATTACACCATTCTACTGGAGTGTTGAACACCGACTCGGCATGTGAAGAGAATGGCATGAGCCAGCCTCCTACGAGTGAGGCCTTCGCGGCTATTCAAAGGAGAGTGCGAGATTGGAAAGCATACTCTATGGCGAAGCATAATAGGGTGTCAGGAAACCACACCCGGTCACCATCTTCGAGGGCCTCTGTGAGGAATTTACGAAATAACAAGGGAAACTATTGGGATCATCTTGTACAGCACGTAAGGGGAGGCAATCCGAACATCTTATGTCTCATCACCCAGAGAGTGACCATCATGCCACCATCAGAAGGTACCGCTCTGACAGCGACCTCATACAGAGACCTTATGGTGGGGGATTGCATCCTAGTCGGGAAGATCTTCAAAGTATTTCGACCTACATTAGTCGCGAGCGCAGATGCCCGACTAATCTGGACCCTCTCCTCATTAAGGGGGCATTCATATCAGTACGGCTTGGAGCGGTTGAACGAAGGGATCATAATCCAACAACAACTCTCATCGAGCATATTGCTGCGTGCCTTGCAGAGGGTCCATTGATACATTCACTGCGGCCAGCTGTGGACACATCAGGACCTCCAATTGAAGTTTCGTTTTTTTTTCCCAGTTCCCCCTGGTACTGTGGAGAGTGAAGCTTGGTCCAGGAGTCAAGTTGGGTTGCAGGAGTTCCGGAATTATAAGACCCTGTTGAGGCATCTGCTGGAGTAGGCGTAGTTACGTGGCTGGCGCTCAGGCCGCCCACAAACGACCTCTTGCTTTGTTTTGCTAGAGCACCTAGATAGCTACTAATTCAACTCACTCTTTTGCTGCAATTGGCGTTTTTCGTTCGTTCGTTTTTCGTTGCTTGTTTCGTTGCTTTGCTAGTAATATCGCGCCTCAACAGACCCTGTAGAGGATTACTGTACCTTTCTCCCTTACTTTGAGGACTGAATCCACTCGGTTTACCCATGACTTGTTCTTTCATTGATACCGTTCTAGATAGACACTTCTAGTTGTGCCAGGGAATCTTCACAGGCTCAATCAGCTGCTGTGCTTGCTTCATCAGTGTTTACAGTCTATAATCTACTTTCCTGATGAGCATTACACACAACAGTGGGGGTTAGCCTCTCGGCCATTTTTGTTGTGGTTTTTTGAGGAAGATCAATTGTTGTTCTTCATATCTGAAAACACGAGGCAACAAGCTTGTCGGCTGTCTTCCGTCAAGGTTTTTTCTCGAAGTCATTCAACGAGAAGGGCGTCCCGGATAAACTCCCAGCCTGCGCAGTGATATACAAGAAAACTTGAGTAAGTACCGATGGTCTATTCTCGTATCCATAAATTGGTTACCTTGCCGCCCAGCGTCGTGCAGATGGCGACCGGATCGTGTTGGCAGAGATGAGCCAGTTTATCAAATTCGATCAGCTCGCGGATGGCTCTCACCCCATAGACCATGGATACAGAGAGACGGCATTCAGGCGTGTGGCTAAAGTACGGCTGAGCGGACGGCAAGCCCTGTTTCGCACACTCTATGGTATATTTATATCGTAGCTCATACAAGTTTCTATTCGTGTATACCGAGTAAAGTCCAATGCGACTGATCGAAGATATATAATCCTATCATGGCCCGTTCTCGGCAAGCGACGACGGCTTCGAGCAGACGAACCGAACGGAAGATTACATTATTGTTCTCAAGAGAAGCCAGACTCCATACAAATTATATGCAGAGAAGCCCCAGGCAGCGAGGCGCTGAGTCAAATCGGCGGCTCCTTGTGTCGACAGATATAACGTCTGACCCGCTTCTCCTGGAGGACGTTATTGACTGAGCAGCGTGAACGACCCTGTCTCAGCTGCAACATGACCGGCCGAGCCATTGCATCCATCCGCAAGCCGAATTGCCTTCATCTCAAGTGGTTCGATATTATCATCTCCGTGGAGAGCCATCCGAGTCGCATAGCTAGAGAGCAGTGTCAGAAACTCTGTTGCTCGCTCTCCACTGCAGAATGAAGTCCAATAACGGAAATCGATCTCGATATGCGATGGTGACACCATCACTGCAATGCAGATATCATACTGACAAGGCATTAGCGTGGAAGGGAGCGGCAAGAGGGAACGCTTACCTCTGTCGGGTCATGAACCTCCAGCACCTTTACCTTGATCCCGTCTTGGCTGTGCAGGTCGGCATTGCCGGCTTGATGGGCAGATTGGACCGTCAAGCAGGTGTTAAAGAACCCCTTTGGATCGTGTCCTGCCCGGGAAAGAATTTCTGGCAAAGAGCAGTGCTGATTTGCCATGCGTCGATTCATCTCCGTTTGGTTTTCTCGTAGAACATCTAGCAGTGTGCGAGACTGGCTTAAACGCAGAAAGCACGGCAAGACATTGAAACAGGAGCCCACCAGTTTCTGGATGTCTGGCAGTGGAAGGTCACGGCCGGAAAGCAGTGTAGCAAAACAGACCTCGTTTCTGTCGGTATAGTGCCGCAAGACCAAGGCCCAGGCGACTTGGAAGACGTTGGTCAGAGTGAGTTGATGCGATTTCAGGAATCGATCTAGCCCGCTACGGTTGGGAACCATGATTTTCTTTGAGCGCAACTGACCGTGACTACGGTTACGCTTCCGGTCCCCGGGAAGTACACATGGCTGACAAGCAGCCAGGAGGTCGGTCCAATGCTGCATCTGATATGCACGGTCTTGGGCTTGCAAGTGCGATATGTATGCGCCGTAAGAGGGAGCGATCTTCGGGGATAGACCTTCTTCTCTCAATATGGAAGCCAGCTCGCTCAACAAAACGTCCATTGAAGTAGCATCAATGAAGCCTTTTCCGAACGAGAGCTTACAGAGGGTCCGATCGTCCGAGGTTTTGCCCACAGCCATCTGCTGGGAAGGAGAGATGTCCCACGAATACCGGGGCGGCAGCTCTCTTAATTGCTGTAGAGTATCTGAAAAGGGATAACAAGAGGGCAGGACAGTCACATCTAGGGATGGTAGCTTCAGTACAACACTGAGAAACTTTCCTTGCCTGCCAGGATGTTCAACAAGGACGGTTCGCAAAGTAGCATGACGTCGGCTGAGCTCCCGCCAGGCCTTCGCAACCCGGGCAGGCTCAATCACCCCTTGATCTGATAAAGTGATCTCAAGTATACTCTGCACGCGATGGCGAGATGCGGTTCCTGTAATACCAGTGACGAGTCCACAGTGGGCATCAGAGCACGGGTAGATACTCTCGATCGAGGAGACGGAGGAGATGCGTAGCGCCGTTTTAATTTTCTCTTGCAACAGATCGAGTTCGCTGTAGCAAAGCGGTGCCAGCGGAATGTCACTCAGCGTCAGCTGGCTGTCCTTATCTATCAATTCCACTGCCGCCTCATGCAGAGATTGCTGGTATGCGCTGATCCAGCGGCCAATCTCGGGCTTACGATGCGTGTGCCCGCTGTACCAGACCTGGACACGAAGGCAGCCGTTGCGGACGTCTACAGCTACGTCGAACAGAGTCTGGCGTGGCATACCGGCTCCGACGTCCAATCGCTCGTCCAGCTGTAGGGGGGTGTGCGAAAAGAGTGCGCCCGGTCGTTCCAGCTGTTGGTACCGCCCACTGTAGTTGAACAGGATCTCCATGCGATCATGGCCAGCGAATGCTGAGCGAAACTCCGGTTTGAGGTGCCGTGAGCTGAAATAAGCTAGCCCATTGTTCAGCAGACTCCGGGAGACATCCTTGACACGACGGACCAGCTCACGAAGGCCGAGTGAGGCTGTGCTGTCCTCCACCGTGCAAGGCCGGACGATCGTAAACCAGCCCACAGTCCGGGAGAGGTCGATCCCCTGACGACCAGCCTCTCTGCCATGTCCCTCACTGAAGATTGTTGGCGTCTCTCGGTCCTTGAAGGTGCGAGCCCAGGAGTGCAGCAGAGCTGCTTGGAAGATCTCTTGTGGCTGGGAATTCCATGTCACGTTCGCCGGACCCAGTAACTTATGGGTGGTGGCTTCATCGACAGTGAATTCATGACATTCAGCATCCCCGTATGTGTTGTGTTTCGGAGACAGTTCCCAGTAATCATAGTTGGCCGGACGCACTTCGAAGGGAAGGACCTCCTGTGGCGTTGAGTAAACCCGACATTCAGTCTCCAGAAATTGTACCCATTTCGCGAAAGAGACAGGTTCCATCATGGAAGGGTCATGACCTTCCAAGAACTCCTCTATGTCGTCTAGGATAATGCGCCAGGACACCAGATCCACGACCATATGGTGACCGATGAAGAGTGCGTAGTCACCATCTTTCGGAGTATGGATGAGGTCTAAGGACAATACTGGGCCCGTCCGCAAGTCCAAGCAGTTATGGGACTCTTCTGCAAGTACACGAGCCTGTTCAATCCGTGCTACGTGATGTTCTCGTATCCGTAGCGAATGATCTGCCGCCGACTGATACTTTAACCGTAGGTCACCCGATTCCCCGACGACGAGCCGGGTCCGAAGCATTGCATGATGATGGACGATCTGATGCAGCACTCGGTTCCAGTCATCCAGGTTGACTTGCCGGTTGACCTTGACCAAGAAGGTCTGGTTGAATCGGTTTTCTGCCATGCTCGCCGATGGAAAAATTAGTGACTGGATTGGACTCAACTTGAACGGAATCTCTTCATCGACGGCATCCAGATTGTTAAGAAGTGTATCCCCTCGAGGCAATTGAGCGTTCTCACAAAATTGAGCAATCGTGTTGTGGGTCAGAAACTCCTGCATAGACAGTGGAATATCCGCCTTCCTCGCAAGTGAGAGCAGCTGCATGGCGGAGATCGAGTCACCACCCAGCGTGAAGAAGCTATCATCAACCCCAATAGCGGTCTCTGGCAGCGAAAGCACCCGGGCATAGAGCTTCTGCAGGCGGGCTTCGAGCTCTGTCGAGGGTGCACGCTTCGAATAATTGGCTCCGAGATAAATTTCGAGGTCCTTACGCTCCAATTCGCAGATTTGCTTCTTCAGGGGCCTTCGATCCGTCTTGCCAGAAGGACTGAGTGGAATGTAGCGAGTAGGAACCAAGATCCAGGGAACCATGTACGGTGGCAAGGAATGATGCAGATGCTCGCGCAAACGCGCCATTTCCGCCTTGTTGGAGTCAGAGGGATGAAACAAAAGACTGGCCTCGTTATCACCAAGCGAGGGTTTGGCGTCAACCTGTCTGAAACAGACGTACAGCACCACCTTAGGCCCTAGCCTGTGCTGAAATGACACAAGATCCGCGGCAACCTCGATGTTGGGCATGAATTGCTGCGCGCAATGCTCAATCTCTCCCAGCTCGAGGCGTTGCCCGCGGACCTTCACTTGGTTGTCCTTTCGACCGACGAAAGAAAGCGAGCCATCGGGATTGAAGCGCGCCAGATCGCCTGTCTTGTATAGCGTGCCCTCGCCTAGGCAGAACTCCGAGGCCCACGATACATTACGAACAAAGGCCAATGCCGTCTCCTTTGGTCGGTGCAGATAGCCTCTCGCCACGGTGGGACCTCCAACCACAAGTTCCCCAACTACTCCCGCAGGCTGCAGCTGATTGTGATTGTCGGGACGGACAATCCAGCA